TTTAATGTTATTTACAGTATTTGTTTCATCATATAAACTAATATGTTGTAATGATATTATTCATCGTTACAATTAATTAATTTAATAAATATATATTTTTTTTACGCATTGATGGTGTTTGTATATTAAATAGATCAATCTATATTAATTAGTACAGCACGTACACCTAAAAAAATATAGGAATATTAATAATTTTATACCATAATGATTTATATTATATGCGTTAATAATTACCTTATTAACTTTTTGAATTTTGTTTTAGAATAGAATTTAATCAAATATAAGTTGCACAAAAGATTATATATATTTAGTTACATTTCTATAAACATAATAAATAATATATTTATATATAATAATCTATTTTATGTTTTGTGCATTTGTTTATAATTTAAATATGTCTACTTAAATCTATATTATTGTCTGATATATAAAAAATATGTATTCTTATAGTATGGATTTTATGTATTCATTATATATTCAATTTGTTATATTTATGTACATACGAAGATTTTTATATATTTCAATAAATTATTAATAAATTATATTTCCTCTTGAATTTAGTATTTCAATTTATTAGATATTTCTTTTAGTATTTTATATATATTAATGCAGTAAATGATTTATTTACTGAAAGTATAATTGAACTAATGAATAGCAACATTAAAGAAATTAATTTCCTTATTTTAAGTAAAATATTCAACTTTATATTTTTTCCTATTATGTAACATTATCATATATATGACGCAAAATTACAATGATTAAAATTTATTCTGTTGTTATATGTTTTATTTTTTAAGGATATAACTTCATATTGTAGACAAATATATATATATATATTTAAACATTTCTATGTTTATTATTCAAACAGAGTTTTCTGTATTTTTATTTTATGGAAAAACAAACTAATATAATTATGTTTCATAATAAATGAATAAAATATTTAACACATAAGAAAATATATTATGAATAAAATCAAGACTAGCATATTAAAAATAAATATTTAAGGAAATGGAAACACATAGGTTCATAAAATTTATAATGAATGGAATAAAGAAGGTTACAATAATAAAAAGTTAACTCAAGCAAATGGATATAACGTAATTAATAAATTATTTCAGATGCAGAATATATTAACTTTGAAAATTATAACTAGATATTCTGAAAAAGATATATTTTAAATTTATAATTCGACTGATAGGATGTTAATAAGAATGAAATATGTTGATATAGAGATTTAAATGTCACAATGAATATACCATGCTTATATTTTTACTTTACTTTATATTATATGAGAGTTCTTTTTTTTTTTTTATAATAAATTATACGAACAAAGTCAATTTTTTATTGATTCGATAATAGTATCTTTATTATCATTATACAAGATTATTAATATTCTCATTAAAGTTCTTAAAAATATTTTTTTGCAAAAAGGGAACATGTACTTACTATATATTATTATTCTAACTCTTTTTAAATAGTTATATAAATATTACATAGCCTCTTATTATAATACAATTGATATTACATGTTTTAAAATGTTTTAATAAATTATTTATTTGGTTAAAATGGATATATAATCCTCCATATTTATGCATTCAATTTTAATATATATATATATAAAATCAAAGATATTATTATGCTGTTTTATGATGCTTTAAATTGTATAACATATATTTTTTTGAATTTAACACATTTATTTTATTATCACAATAATAGCATTGTAATTTTATAAAATTTTTATTAAGGTATATATATACATAAAATTATATTATCCTACCAGTATCAAAAATGTATTATTATTATTACCTGTTTGCTAATAATATGCGATTCCAATGAAACATTAACTAGTTTATATATATGATAGCTTTTTTGAAAAAGCGTTGCCCAAATCATTCAAAATTTAGTTTACTATGATATATACTACTAGTTTTATATTAATTTTTCTTCTATATATATACATCTGATATGTGGAAAAATAATTATTTCCTGATATTGAGACAAAAAATATGTCTATTTTGGTGTTTTAGAAAAAATAATAGTAATTTTTTTATTTTCATATCTTTATAGGAAATGATTTAATTTTATACACATAATTCTTAGAAAAAGTGTCAATAATAAATGATTTTTCCTATAATTATATTACTAAATTATAATAATTTTATTGTAGAAAGCATATAGTGATATATCATGCATCACAAAAGATCTTCATCAATATTTCAACAATGAATGTGAAAATTAATGTAATAATAAAACTTCCAAATGATATGTATTTAGTAAAAAGTTCTTATATATATATAACATATTAAGTGATGTGTAAAAATAAATTATATATATGTTTATATAGTAAAGACAATAATTTATAAGAATACCATAAAAATGGAATAAAATTTATTCTAAAAAAAACTAGTAAGCATATGAATTTCAAGGAAATATTGATATAAATGAAAATTTATAATTATAAGCCAAAAATTGTTTCCTTATTATAGGTACATTATACATTTTGTATTTAATTATACTTTCATTTCATATCCTTAAAAAAAATTTCATAAGCAGCCTGCATCTTAATTTTTAATATGATATTTATTTTTAAAATATATTAATAAAAAATTCGTTTACTTTTTATTTATTTATATTTTTTTTAAATAATAATTTATAGAATTTGTATCTGTGATACATAAGAAATATGAAAAAAAAAAAAAAAAAAAAGAAAACATTATACATATTTCAGGAATAGGATTTTCTAGAATCAATGCATAATAAGACGAATTTTACAAATTCTTACTCATAAGAATTAGTGAATGCCTTAATCATATTTACATATGATGTTATTCTATATAATTTAAATTATAATTTTAAATATTGTAAAAAGAAAATATTCTAAATCGTTTATATAAGTTTTATACTTAATTGCATTAATGAAAATATACAAAAAAAATTATGTATTGAATATTTTTTTCTCATCCTAATATAAGTATAATTTATTTTACTACAGTATGGTACGTTCATTTAATAATTAGTTCTTAAGTATTTTTTTAATTAGCCATTACTTTTTCTGTATGTTGTATAATACTTGTAGTTTGTCTAAGTATATATATTTTTTAACATTACATTATATCATTTCCTATGTTATTTATAACGTATAAAAATTGTTAATTTTACTTCTGTAATATTTACATATTGTATTATTAAAAATTCATGTGATTTTACTTTAATATAATTTTTTAACGCATGTAAAATAAGATAAGTATATGTATAATGCAAAAAATAAATAAATAAGTAAAATAAATGTACGAAATTAATTACACTTTTATTTATAAATTTAGCAATAATTATAATATTCTCACGTAATAAAATATATTTTTGCTACAATTAATGCACTGAAATATAAAGAACACGTTAATTCGCGTAAAAAAAAATCCCAAATTACAATTGAACATACATTATATGAAAATTATAATTCATACAAAATAATGTATATTATTAAATAATTTACAAAAAAAAAAAATTATTCATTCAAAATGAAATTTAAAAAATATTAAATAAATCATACAAGTTTTAATACAATTCCTTATACACAACAATAATCGATTGATAAGCTTATATATTTCGTTTTATTATTACAAGCACAAATCAAGCTTTATGCTTAAGTGAAATTGAGAATTTGTATAATGTAATATATATATACAAAAATATCATGATAATTAATTAATTATTACTTTCCAAATATAAATAAAAACATAAAATATTATGCTAATATTATATTACAAACTAATATATTTTTACGACAAAGTGATCAAATATAATTTTACTCAATATATTGGACATAAAATATAATGAATATAAGACATGTAAAAAGCATTCTAATTTCTAAAAAATAAAGAAATGATATAAAACAAATTCCTTTATCCACAAATAGATGAATCTTGAATTGTCATAATTATTCTATTAAATAATTATAAATTTAAAATAAACTGAAAATTCCTTATGATATATATGTCCTAAAAAGAAAAATATATAACTTATTATTATATTATCTCTGTTTGGATTAATTCAAAATTGGCCATAAGTGTAATCTGTTCATCCTAGGTGTATTATTATATGTAAAAATGTAAAATGAGATTTTGCTATATAAAATTAAAATGTGCTACTATACCACATTAATAGATATGTGGACATAAACAATATCAAAATATTACGATTACAAAATTGATACATCTAAAAAAAATTAATAAAAATGTAAAATGTACAATTATACATTCATAACAAAATAAAATACACACTATAAAATAAATAAAAATAACAGATACTTGTAACATATGACCTAAAATATAAAACCAGATCCCTAAGAACAAAACTCCACAACAAAAACACTAAAAAAATCTTCATACTTGCTATTCTAAAGCTAAACAATAAAAACGTGAATGTATAAAGAAAAAAACCAACAAAAAAAGAGACCTAAATAAAAACCTAAAAAAAAAACAAAATATCAAAAAAAACATCTAACTAAACAAAAACCATGACAAGCTAAAATCTAAAATATAAATCATTAACCATAAACACTAAACGAAGAAGACTTAACTATGAGACAATAAATCTGAACCCTAAAACTTGAATACTGAACCCTGAACGATAAAACTAAACCATATTTATATAATACATTGTACAAATTTACTTATTTTATTATATCTCTAGTATATATATAATGTGATATAGGTATTTCTATGTTAATATAATGACACCATTTAATATATAGAACCATTCTTTTTTTCTTTTAAATTTTTATTTTAATTATAAAATTAAAATTTTTCTTTTTTAATCCTGAATATATTTAATGCAAATTATTTCGTTTATACAGGTATTATATATAAGAATTGTATTGTATATTGGAAAAACAGTTAATGATATTTGTTATGAATAATGTAACTATAAATTCCTTGAATCATTATATAAATAAATTTTTAATGTCTATAAAAACGTAAAAATTTGATATATTTTTCATTATGGGAAAAAAAAATATACAAAATAAATTAAAAGTAATATTTATACACGATGGAGAGCTATAATCATTCCATTTATTTTTTTATGATGTATATTATTATTTATTATATAATAAATTCTATAATACCTATATTTAAGCAGGTACATAATTTGAATTTCATTAGGTATATTTTGAAAATGACGAACTAGGATTACCGTCAGCACATTTTTATAAAAAATTGGATCGTCGTCTTTTTAATTATAATAATGTCAATTGGAAACATAACCAAAATGAGTTAAGAGTGTATTATAACATATGTGAATTTTTCAATAAGACACATAGAAGTGATTTTTTTAGAAGACTTTGTTCTGTACTCCTATGGTATCTAAGTACGGAAAATACCATTATAAATGAAGAAAATAATGACTACAATAACTGCGAACTTTTGAATTATTGGATATACAGTAGATTATCTTGGATTTATGATAGGATATCTGATCATATTACTTATATGTTTGGTAACCTTCAATTATTATGGAATTCCCTTATTGGAACTTCTAGATTTAGCTCATTTTACAATAAATGTAGTCCAAAATTTAAAATGCCTTATTATAATAACTGGATGGAAAGGAAAAAGTTATATGATTACTGCATCGATTATGAAAAAATTCTCTTATTTGCTGAGAACTATAAGGATAAGCGAGAAATCTTTTTTAATTATTTTAAAATAAAAACTGAATTATATGATAAATTTAATAAGATTTGTAGTAAAGGAAAAACGCAAGAGTGTCCAGAGTTTTTTAACAATTGTAAGAAATCTAGTCCATCCGAAGCGTTAAAAAAGATTAGGCATTATATTGAAAGGGATAAAGGAATATCTGAGAATTCTGGAATGCAAAACAAAGATGCAATTTCCGTTCATACAAGTAAAGAAAGTGAAACTTCATTAGAAGTTCAATTCGATGCAATAGATTCAAAGTCATCTGAAGATGATTCCTTATTAAGAGTGTATGAAACAGAAGAATTTGCTGATTTATATATAAATCCTGACAGATCTAGCATTATATTTATTTTGGGAAAAACGTTTCTTGGATTAATTTTATTTACTGTACTTTCTTCCATTTTGTATAAAGTAAATATATTTTCTTTTAATACTAATTAGAAATAAATTTATTTAAATGGCTCCCCCCTTTAAAAAAAACAACAATTATTCAATAAATCTATTATGTTTTTCTTTTTATGTACAAGTTTACACCCATGGGAATTCATTTGAGCAAAATGTTTGGTCAGAGGAAAAATATTATAAGTGACATAAATAGAAGCAAAAATATGTTATTTGATTACTCATCAGAATCATGTAACCAAAATTATATGAATGGAGAGGAACATTTTGTAGGATATCATCCTGAGTAATATTATTCAGAACATATTATAATGGTACATACATTAAAAGAGCAATAGAAATGAAAAAATATATCTACAAATTGCTATTTTAATGAATAAGGAAAATGAATCAAATAAAAATCAATATGTATATACCAGATATTATAAGAATATTTATATAAAAATTAATAATCAATATGTTACATAAAATAATCATAAATTGTCTTTAAAAAAAAAGTTACTCATGAAAAAATTTATTTTATATATATACAAAAATAATACTTGTTTAATTATATTACATTTTATAGATTATTATCAAGAGGTAATAATACTATTATTTATAACACGTTTTTGTAATATTTTCAAGATAGTAGAATAACATAACATTATTTAGTTACATACTCTGTAAGTTTTAATAATAATACAAATGTATAAAGCACAAAACCTTCACTACACTAATTCTTTAATGATCACTTGAGCTTTTCATGATTAAACTAATTGATATATATTAATATATATGTGTACAAAATCAAAATCTCTAATTTTTTTTTTTTTAATATAAGTAATGTTATTAGTTTATCGTTATTCAATGTAAATAATATTACTTAAGCAAAATTAAAATTTATTATATTGTTTATGTACTTGTATCATGCTCAGCACTAATGGAAAATAATAGATATCTTATGACATAAGAGGACCCTATCATTAATATTTTTAGTATAGTTATTTATATATATTTTTTATTCTATAATTTGTGTTTTTGATGTTATTGTGTCTATATGGACAGTAAAATTCCCAATTGCAAAAGATGTATTATTATTATTAATTCATATAGTTTATAAATATTACATAATATATTCATTTGTTATATATTAATACATTAAGAGGAAAACTTTTATATTAACTTCCAATCATTTAACTATAATGCTAACTAATATTATTATGTATATATTATGTTAAATATACTAATTTTATTAAGTTTACAACATTAAAACTTGTATTAGATTATTCTCTTATTATGTGCTAAAATATAAGATACTACAAATATAATCTAGTGTATTTATTATTAAATGAGAGCAAACAAATACTTGTAATGCAATTTTTAATATCCTTATGTTTATTATCACGTACTCTCTTTTGTATATTATACAGCTTATAACAGTGGGTTGATATATTTAGATTATCATGTGAAAATAGTGATTACATTATTACAATTATATTAAGATTAAAATGATATCCATTTTTATATATTTTATTATTTCATTTTTAATAAAAAATAAAAAAAATAATTTATATTTTATCTTTTGTGGGGTTATACACCGAAATGTATCTAACTTAACAAAATATATATACCTCATCTATAACGAACATAATAGGTTTACGCTTACTACTTCAATTATTCTTGAATATAAATATGAATTGCAAATTATATAGTTTTTTTAGTGACAAATATATCATCTTACAATGTAAAAACTTATTAATCCACAATCAAAGCTTAATAAAAATTAGAATGCATTAATAAATGTTAATTGAAATAATATTAATATAATATTTATTATTAAACTTTTCTCGAAGAATTTTGTATTAAGTTATACATAAATGTTTTGTATTAACAAGAAAAAAAAGATTATAGGCTCTATTAAAAATTGTTAAAGAACAAGTAGCTTTTCTCATGTTATTCTAATTATTAATAATATTATTACAAATAAACTACTATTGTTTGTTTAAAAGAAACAATATATAGAATAAGAAAATATATAATTTCAAATAATTATATTTATATTTAGTTTGATTTTGATGATATATTTCAAATATATGCATATAATTGTAATTTTGTAAAAAATATTATAATAGTAACTACAAAAGTTTATATATTGGCTTAAATAGTAAATTATATAAATTATACAATCAATTAAATCGTAATATGAATGCAAATAATGTATGTTCCTGTAGAATTAGTTATTTGTATTTTATTTATCTCGGTCGTTATTTATATTATTTAAAAGAAAAATTACATTATATTCATATATATGTAGTACACAGATGTATTTACTTCATATAAATGCTTACACATGTATTAATAAATCCTGGTTGTAATAGAGCACATCTTAATCTATCGTATGATGATATAATTCAAAGATTAAGGAATCAATAACTTCCTCTAAATTACCAACCACTTGACATATACAATTATATTTTTAATAACGCTAATTATGATATTATAAAATACGTTGAAAAAAGTGAAAAAAATGATATTATTTGACATCTTTCGTTATATGGTTATAATACATAAGAATATTTTTCAAATATATTCTCGTTTTTGATATTATATTTATCGTATAATCTTTTATGATATATATAGGAAAATTTTAGATAATAAAGATATATATGAGGAACATGAGGTCCTATTTGTAATGGAAAAATTTAAAAGGGAAAATGAGGGATACACAACGTTCTATGATTTTTATAATAGAGAATATATATTAAAAGTAACCTCCATGAAATAAAAAAAAAAAAAAATTATAACTGGAAGAACAAAAAACTATACTTGAAGAAAAATAAAAACTAGTAGAAACCATAGAACATCCCAAAACAAAACTAATTAAAACAGAAATAACACAAGAATTAACATTACCAAATGTAACAAATGCAGGAATATAAAAAATAACATTGTCAGAGGCATTAAAATTAGAAATAGTAGACAAAAGTTCTTTTTCAGGATCATAAATATCTCATATAATGTTACCTATATTAATAATTATATTCATTCTGTATAAGATTATAAAAATATTTTAATTTGTAAAATATATATTATATTCTACTTTATATTGCATTTATGTTGCATAATGGGTATAATATAAATATTCTACTCAAAACAGTAATAGAATATATATTCTTTTTTATAATTATACATTATATCTATCATTTCTAAAACCAAGGGTAAGAAAATTAAAAAAAAATTTTAACAGAAAAAATAAAGAGAATATAGACCTAATGAATTATCCTGATATGACGTACAAAAATTCCTATGATAATAGTTTTAGTATAGCATAGAGTTCTGAAAATTGCACCTAACAAACCTATAATAATAGCTAATGAATTCTATATACTTAAAGAAATTAAATAAAATTCTTTCAGAAAAATATAAAATATAATTATTCAAATTAAAACATTTTAAAATAATGATACAAATATATTCAATGTTTCCAAAAAAAAATTATTTTAAGTTATATTTGATAATATAAATTTATATATATTTAAATATATCGTACAATAATTAAAGTCGCTAAAAAATGATCTATAAATTTATATCACGTAAAAATGTATCGAAAATCATAATATACATAAATAAAGCACATAATGATATTATTAATAAAATTTAATAAATTAGAAAACTTCTTAAAATTTATATCCTAAAACGCAGTAATTTTTTTCAAAATCTAAGTATAATGAGAAACAAAATTTTATATTATAGAAAAAAAAATCATGTAAAACATGACATTATGTATAATACAGTATACACTAATATATTAAATAAAAGAATATAATATATTTGTATAAATATATTCTAAGCAGTTCATTTAAATCAATTATAAGTATATGTTAATTAATTATAATTGTTTTTCATTAAAATATGATCTCATATAAATATAGTATTTTATATTATAAGTATAGACCCAATGATAGGATCTCACATCTAACTTCATGCGCATATTAATGATTTACGTTTAATTTTTAAATAGTTATACATGAAAAACATAGGAAATTTAAAAAATATAAAGTTGAACGATTGTACATAATATAACAACGAACATAATATATCATAATTACATTATGATTATATAATTACTTAAGATATTAAAAAATAAGTAACAATTATTATGTTAAATATATTATCATCATATTTAATAATATTTATTAAAACAATTATATTTATTGAATAATATATGTTTTTTATTTTATAAATATATGAACAAATATAGTGAATATTATATTTCTACCTATGATTTTTGTTATAATATTTACAGTTATAATATATTTTGTAAAATGCAGTATATTATATAAAATAAGGAATAAGCATGATTTCTTAACTTAGAAATTAACATTATTTAATGCTTCAGTAGTATTATATATGAAAAGTAATTAAAAAAAGTATTTTGTTGAGTAGTAATCATTACAAACACATAAATAAATATTATATATTTATAGACACTGCTTTTATATACTACAAAATAAATGTTGATAAAAGATAATATAACTGTTTTAATAATTAAAATGTAAAATAATCATTTGTCAAGGTTAATAATAGTAACATATTTATTTTTTTTTTAAATATTCCAATTGATTTTCTATATACAACAAATATAAATAATTTACATTATCATTATGCTATTATAGAAATCTATTTATCAAAATTTTTTCCCCTTTTATTATATTATATATTTATGTATTTTTTAAAGATGTATAAATTTTCTTGTTCATATTAATTTTAGTTATATTTTTGTATGCGCCTAATTTTATTTAAGAATATATATTTTTTATAAGTGTAATTGTTATTAACTGAGTGAATGATACAACAACAATATACAATACATACACTTTTATTATTTTTTTGTGTACATTCTACACTTTTAAATTTAATTTTTTGTTTATTTATATACGTTTATACATTAAATATGTGAATTTATTTTGTATAATATTGTATGCATATATTCTACATTAAAATACGTATGGCTATATGAACAATACTAATTTTATAATGTACAATAATATTAAAATAGCATATATATAATTTATTTATTTTAGAAAAATCATATTGAAATTTATTTAATTTAATACTTACAAAACATTTTATTTTCTTTTTACGTAGTTATAATTACAATCATAATCAATATAGAGACGTCGAATGTAATAATACATTTTTCAAAAATTAAAATATTAGGAATAATAAAATATATACATTTTTTTTTCTATATACTGACTAATCATATTCTGATTATTTTTTAACCCAATTATATAAATAATATACC